AGTTGTGACCAAACAGCTTCACTAATGGGAGAATCCGTCATTGTTCCCTACAGAGGCATGATTCTCTGTCCTACCCTGCTTCCATGGGGCTGTGATGTACACTGTCAGTGACTCCCCCTCTGAAGAGTTCCTACATACTGGAGGAGCATTCTCTGTTATCCAGACTCTTCTGATAACCACAGCTATGCCCCAGAGAGAAAGAGAGGGAGAGCCCATGAGATCTACTCTGGGAGACACCAAACGACCCTCTGACGAAGGATCTCCACATCCCAAAGCAAGGACCCTGACTCAGATTGCAGACTGTGGTCCAGTATTCTCTCTGCTTGACATAGACAACTCCTCCAAGTGGCCAGAGAGAAGAAGATTCACTCCAGAAGACCTCAGAGAGGCTGGCTTTGAGCAGCCCCTGTGAACTCCTGCCTCTTCCCTTGTGTCTTGCCCCTGGGGCTGACTTCCAATTACCAGTAGGCATCTCTGCACCTAGGGCTTTCTCCATGCCTCAGAAATCCCTCTGCCCTCACACATGAGAGCCTGGGAGTTGATGTGTGAAAAGCTGAGCTCCACTTACATTTGGGTGGGATGATTTTGTGTGTTCTACCCCCACCCCTCCCACTCCCACTCCTGCAGCCTTAAATTCCAGTCACTCATAGTGATAACTGGCATGAGAAGGTATCCTTTATGGCCTATTTTCCTTTTCCTGTCTCCCCTTCCTCCCCTACCCCCTCAACACTGGTCCCCCCTTTGCTTCTCAGATCAACTTTTCTCAGAGCCCCTTTCCAATGAGACCATATTAAGGCAGGTTTCTACCTGAAAATTTCAAACTGAAATAATGTGAACAGAAGCCAGGCAGGAAATAAAATCTAACAAATAGGGGAAGAATCCAATCTTCTGTGTTTTTTATGATTGTAGTCACTGATAAAAACAAAGTGCAAATCTCAGCAACATTCTTGACCAGTGCAGATAAATTTAGTTATGATGAGGGGATCTAGCAACGGTATTATTTTTTAAAGGCAGGAAGTGAACCTAAGAGGCACAGACTCCTACCAAAAAGGCTTCAAACAAACAAACAAACAAACAAAAAACTGTTCTCCTGGAAAATTTGTATAAGTTGCTATGAAATAAAAATGTCCTTTACCTGTAACAATTTCCCATGAATCCTGAGTATGTATTAAAGATTTAGTTTTCTGTGCTAATACTGGTGGTCTCTGGTGGAAGCTTAGATTAGCATGTGGGACCCTAGGAAGTATTAAAATCAAACACCAACAGGGACGGGCCTTGGGAATTCCCTGAACAGAACCAGTTCAGTCCTTCACACAAAGCTTAATTTAGTTTATTTTGCAAGACAAGCAAGGCTCACTTGACCTGGGTCACTTCATGCTGACACTTCTGAAAATCCTAAGCCAAACTTATTCCCCAAAATTGATACGAGGTCACCACTAACCAGTTCCCTCTCATTTAAGAAAATTCTAATATTGTAACCCATCGCTGTGGGGAATCAACAGTCACTGATTGCACATGATCTAAGCTGCTTTACAACGATATACCTCTGAGCCTCATTCCACATTTTGGTTTAAATGCTCCCGGTTGGCAAACTGTCTTTTTGGTGTGTGCACAATAAACTTGTACTAAATACCACTGGGGTGATTCATTGATTTCACTTTTGGCTTCTTGTTTGTTTGTTTTTGCTGTATTTTGTTTGGTTTTGAACTTTGGACAAAAGATACACGGCAACCCCAACAGCATCACATATAATCAGTTTTATTGCCAGGTAAGAAATTCATATTAATATAGTGAATACATGTTTACAAATAAACATTTTTAGAAAACAAACAAATGTCTTTTTTTTTCTCATTGTAGGAAGTATTATTGGTATCATAAACTCTGCAGTTGTTGACAAGTATTAACACAGGTTTACTTGCAGAACATACGGTTACTAAAATATTCGCACATAAAATATGCTCCATTTACACGGAAAACTGGGGAGGGGGGGAGTTAGATGGGGGTACCAGGCAGAGCCCCAGGCGGGATGGAGGCTGAGATGCTCTGGGAGGGTGAAGGGAAGTCAGACTCTGGTCCCATTGGGTTGGAAGTCAGGGATAGCTAAAGGCAAAAAGTAGAGGCTAGTGCCAGGGCACGGGATGGGGCAGGGACAGCCTCTCTGCTTTGTTCCGGTTTCTCTCTTCTAAGCTCCCCACCATAGCTACAGGATTCATGTTGATACATGGCAGCCACAGATCCATCAGTACCATGATTTCCATCCCCATCCACCCTCCTGGGAGGAGGCCTAAGAATAAACCTCCTTGTCCAGCCCCCACCCCTTTGGTCCCAGTTCACCAAGCCAACTGGAAGGTCGTGAGACAGAGAAGTAGTGTCCTCTGCCGTCATCCTGTCACATCTTCCTGAGCGTGCTGCAACCTTCCTGCCAACACCCCCCAACTAACAACAAAACTCACCGGATGAAGTTTACCCAGAAGAGAAGGAATACGGAGGGGGGTGGGGTGGGAAAGAATTCTGTTGATTCAGAGACCAAGAAAGGTCCTTAATCAGCGTTGGGATAAAGGTCAGATGAAGTGAGTCCAGTACAAGAGGCAAGATGAGCCAAAGGGGAAACTAGACTCACAGGACTTTGGAGCTGGAGGGAACCTCACAGATAAGCAGACCCAGTATTTCCTGAAATACGCGCTGTGCATCACTGGCAAATGCAAAACGATTTGTAGTAGCACGTGGATCTAGCACTGGTTAACACCGAGTCACAGAGGGAATGGGTTCCTTTCCATTCAATCCGTCCGATGGAGTCCCTTGGAGTGCAAAGTCTCCACTGGGTGCTGGTATATCTTTAACAGCTCTTTAACAAATCTGCTAATCTTCTTAATAAAGAAAAAAGGGAGAGGGAGGAAAGATGGAAGGGAAGAGAGACAAAGAGAGAGAGAGACAGAGAGAGCGTGCGATGAGCCAGCAAAGGCCTGGCTCTGGGTTAACATCCTTCCACAGGCAACAGTATCCAGCTAGAGCTTAACGATTGCCGCTCTGTTGCCTTGGTCCTTGTTTTTATGCTTACTTTTTATTTAGGGTGATTGATACTGCCTTTCTGTTTGGCATGAGGAAAGGAAGTTTTCCTTTTAAGAGTTCAAAGTATTAAGAGGGAATCAATTTAGATACAAATATTTTGGTGGCAATACACAGAGATGCCAAAAGCAGGTACACGGAAAGCTAATATCATGGAAACCCTGACTGAGCTGGGTGGTGTTTACCCCACTCTGGGGAGCACTGGGATCCCAGCAAAGAGGCTGAGAAAGTGGGCATTGTATCCGCCCCCACCCCCACCCCGACCACCAGTTCTGCTTTGTCCAGCGCAGAGCCACCTTCTCAGTGAGGACCTTCCAGAGTGGCACCTGTGCACGATTACATTTTTAAAAAATGGGCAGAGGTTTTGCTATTCAGAAAGATTGAAAGGCTTTCTCCGTGTTTTGGATGGGAGACTACGGCCCGAGGAGATAACATGCATTGTCAATGTGCCCCCAGATGGAATGAAAAGAAGAACCTAACCCCTGATTTCCCTTGCTTCCGTGATGTCGGAGGAGAGAGACAGGTGAGGCAGCACGCCACACGGGGGCATCCCCAGGAATGCTCTGGATCTTCTTGGACCACTACGTATAGCTTCTGACACCAGAAGAGCTCTGGGGCTCTCAGAGGTTCCTGTTCATTGGCTAAGGTCGTTAGGGAACTGGATGAGAACTTGTCCCCTATGATCAAAAGTTTCTTCTCTCCCGGCACTCTCCCTTTTGGGCTTCCACAAAACAAACAGAAGTAGCCGGGAAGCCACCTTGGTCGGGATGCCCAAGGGCCATTGGCTGGGAGGACCGATCTGAACAACCACCTCAGGGGGGATTCTGGTTGGGAGATGAATTCTTGGATGGATGTATCTGGGGAGGTAGGTGGCTGGGAGGACCATGAAAATTACAAGATCCCAAAATGCTTGGGAGGTTTGGCGGGGGCAGGGGGGGCAGATAACCGTAGGACTGGGGGTGGGAGGGTGGGGGGCGGGGAGGTCTTCATCTTTAGGTACCCCCGACATCGTAGCAGCCCCCTCAGGGTGTGGGATGGCTGGGCTCACTGACAAAGGGGGAGAGGAACATCTTCTATTACTGCAGGAAACAGGACGCGGGGCGGGGGGTGGGGGGCTTGGAGAACACAGGTTGCACTTGGGAAACAAGACTGTCATTAAACAGTAACACATTGAAGGCACCACCCACGCTTATGACATTTTCAGTCCAAAGCAGTTGAAATTTGGCAGCGGCGGCGGCAACGGGCTGAGGGGAGTCGGGGAGAGATGGGTAAGAGAGGACTGGTTTCTGCGTCTGTTTCTTGTCTTGGAGGCAAGGCGGGAAATGCGGGGTGTCCCCTTCTCACCTCTTGTCGACTTTCCAGCTGTGGAGTATGTTTTTGTTCTGATGTCATTGTTTCCTAAGTCCCAAGAATTCTGGGCAAAAATGATTTTTGTTTTTGTCTGTTTTGTAGTGGGCTTGTCTTTGTTTCTCTTCTTCTTCTTCTTCTTCTTCTTTTTTAAAGTTATTTAATACTCTCTGGACCCTCTGCCCGCTGCAGAAGCCTACTATCCTTGCCATGTCCATGGTCATGGTCTTTACAGGACTTCTCTAAAATGCTCTTTCTTTCTCATCACTGCCAGTGGGTTCAGGGTCTATTGACTTTTTGTGAGTTTGAGTGTGTGTGTGTGTGTGTGTGTTTGCTTCCAACATTGACGATATGAAAAGTACTACAAATAGAATAGTAGGGGTCCAGTTACTGTCTCACGCTTGGCAAAATTGTGTGTCCATATCACTATTTCTTGAGATTAGAAGACACTTATGCACACAGCATCCTTCCCAGACAACTCCTCTTCTCAAGTACGCTCTTCTCTTGTGTCCACCCTCATGCTCCCCCCACCCCAACCTGGCTCTTTCACCGGAAACAGCGCATGGTAAATGGTGTATGTGCTCAAATGGACAATTTCTCTAAGTTGTGCTACTTTTAATTTTTCATCATGGAGTTCAGTTGTAAGTCAGGAGGAAAAGAAAAATTAGCCCCACGGTGTGGGCGTGTGAGTTGGCCACCTGGGGCCTGAAGTCGAAAGAGCCGTGCCTCAGTTTCTCCTTCGCTGTATTGCTGAATGTCCCTGCTTCCGTCTTGCTCAGCTGCCCGCTGACACGTGTTCGGCATGACCCAAGAAAAGCGTGATTCTGCGTCACCAGTAGGTTTATCGTCGGTTGGAACGGGGAGTCAGGGAGTGGGGGAGCATGTCGGGGGTGGGAGGGACAGGGAGGGTGTGGGCCAGGGGTATTTTTTTGCCTCTCTCAGTTGAGTATGGTCTCCAGGATGCTCCCTGTAGTGAAAGCTCAGACAGTCACTTCTGTTTTGCTGTTAGTGATGAAGTATGGCTGTGGGGGTGGGTAGTGCTGGGTGCGAGTCCCCAAGGGGTCGCTGGAGCCCGACTCAGCTGTGCCAAGCTTGCCCTTGTTACCATAAGCCTGCCGCCGGAGGGAATGCTCGTTGGGGTCCCAGCCCTTGAAGTTGGCGGTGGAGTTGTAGGCCAGGGGATGTGGGGGCATCTTGTTGGTGCGGGACTTCTGTCCATTCTGCTTGGCAGGGCCATGCTCAGGGCTGAAGGCCCGCGGCTCATCATCCACTCTCACTGGGTGCAGAGGTAGGTTCCCCTTGGCGGCCAGCTCGGCCAGGTGCCGTCGCTTGGAGGAGAAGTCATCATTTACCTTGTCGGCTGTCCAAGGTGGATGGAGATGGGGAGGACAGGGCACAGAGAGGGAGAGGGTGTGTGGAGAGAGAGAGAGAGAGAGAGAGAGAGAGAGAGAGAGAGAGAGAGAGAGAGAGTTAGGGATTGGCAAGTCAACCTGACCACAGCGTTAAGTGGGCCAACAGTCCAAACGAGACACACACTAGAAACTCCATCTGGAACAGACAGAAGGAAGGAGAACAGAAGGAAAGAGGGTCGAGTTCTTTTCACAAGCAAGAGCAAGACCAAGAAGGTTAGGGCATCCCCAGTGGACACTCTAGATCCGCACCCTCCCCGCCCCCACCGCCAATAAACACTTCTCCACCATAGTGCACCGAGCACTGTACCTCCTTGGCGTTCTTACAAAGTTCCAGGGTTGTTTCTTCATCATTAAAATCATGCATTCTCATTTTAACATCTTGAGGAATATTCATATCTGTCACCCACCATTCAAGATCGCCGATATCAATGTGTGGCTGTATTTTCTTCTGGTTTTCTCCATAAATGGGGTTCAATTTGGGATTTCTATTAGTGTGTTTGGTTGCTTTAAGCAGTTAAGTAGACCTGTGTTCAAACCCCAACTCTTCCACCTGCTAGAGGTGTAACTTTGGCTACTTAATGAAAAGGTAAGAAACTTCTTAGTTTTTATTACCATTAGTTTCTACATTAGGAGAGTAGTTACAATAAATATATATATATATTATATTTCATGTGGTTGTTTAAAGGGTTAAATGATATCATGTGTGCAAAGTATTCAGGTATTAGCCCCTGCCATTGTAATTATCATTATAAATCACTGTTTAATTTCCAAATAACATTCTATCATGCATTTCTCCATGCTGTTATAAATCACTAATAAACAACATTTTAATGCCTACATAATATTTCATTGGGTGGAACTATTAAAATTAATCACTCCTCCCATTGATGAAGAGTCATTTGCCAATATGTTGCTGACATAAATAAAGCTGAAATGAGAATCTTCAAGACTCAAGCTCTTTTTGTATTTAGGATCATTGTAAAAGTAGTTTCTTCATCTACATCAGACGACTGCAAATTACAGCCCCTGGACCAAATCCGGATGCTGCCTATTTTTGTAAATAAAGTTTTACTAGAACATGGCCATACCCACTTGCTTACCTACTGTCTTTGGCTGCTTTTGCTCTGCAGTGGTGGATCCGAGTACACATGCCTGAGACTGCAAGGCCCATAGAGCCTAAAATCTTTATTAGCCAGCCCGGAAATGAATGACCTGAAGTTAATTACTTGGCAAAAGTATGTAAACATTATCAAGGTTCTTGATACATATTGCCAACTCCTCCAAAAGAGTCACACCAATCTCTGTGCCATTTCACCACACTGTCTCCAGCACTGTGATTTCTTTCTCTTTTTCTTCCTTGCTTTCTTTCATTATGATCCTGGCTCCCTCCTTCCTTTCTTCTTCCTTCCTCTTCTCTCTCTCCCTCCCTCCCCCCTTCTTCCTTCCTTCCCTCATCTTTCTTTCCCTGTGTATTTATTTGATAAGTTTATTAGATCTTTTATGTTCTTATACTTCTTTTATTATAAGATCCTCTACACTTTTAAAATTTATTTCTTAGTGGGACATCTGACTGGCTCAGTTAGTAGAGCATGTGACTCTTGATCTTGGGGTCATGAATTTGCATCCTACATTGGGTGAAGAGATTATTTAAAATAAGATAAATAAAATTTATTTCTTAGCAGTAAACTTTAAAATTACATCTCTTTGGAGATGAGAAATATTTGCTGTTTTCCCATTTATGCTTCCATCATCCCACAGCCTTCCAATATCCCACATTGTTACATAGGTGAATTTGTGTATATGTACATTCATGGATGCCATCATTTTTCCATGTTTCTTTTCCCATTTGATCCTTTCAACAACCCTAGGAAGTAGGAAGGATGGGGATTTTTACTCCTGCTTGATTGATTAGGAAATTGTCAAGCTCAGGAAGATGAAATGATTAACAAAAGTTACCCCCAGCTAGTGGCTGAGCCAGGGTAGAACCTAAGTCCAGTAGACATTATTTGGTGCTTTTCAAAGGCCATAGAGGGAAAGCTTCAGTTTCAGGACCAAGGGCACAAAAATATGGCCCACTTGCCCCCTCAGGGTCCATGGCAGACGTCACTCATTGATCATAGTGCTCTGTCCAGGCAAGTGCAGCCTCTGCTCAGACTCCTCAACACAACACCCCAGTAAGCCACACATTAACCTTCCAGGCTTCATACCATTTAAGTTGGGTTTCTGTCCCTGTTAATGTATATTGTCCTGGCTACTGTGATCTTTCAAGAGAAAGTCCCCTTTGCCATAAATCTTAGAGCTGTCTGAAGATACAGAATGTCAAAAGGAATCTGCTACTAAAGATGCGAAGAGCACACATTCTGAAAATATCATGCATTGCTTAAAGGGGTATGAGTTAAATTCAAGTCAATGTAAGATCCCCATCTTTCTGCTTTCCAGAAGAAAGTTCTAGGTTTCCAATGCCACAAAGTCTCAACAGAAGGACGCTCTGATATTCCCCTTTGGACTTGGGGTAGTGGGGGAGGACATGAATCCAGTTACCTCCAGGACAGATTCATTGGTATTTCCTACTCCAGGTAGCCAAGTCTGAAACCATTAACAATAAATACAAATATACCTTCTTCTTCAGGTCCTTCCTTAACTCCTGGATGCAAACACCCCTGAAGCCAGAAACAAGGTAGCATCTTCCTCCTCCAGCACAACTGCTAAGCCTGTCCAGCTATGCCTACAAACGCTGCTCTAACCTATTCCACTCCACCCCCAACCTTGAACATCGCTCCACTTCAGCCACCAAACTGGCCTCCCTGCCTTGAGCCTCATGCCTCGACCCAGTCCAGTCTCCACACTGCAGCCAGAGGCATATTTCTGAAATGCAAAACCTACCATGCCCCTCATCTACCAACATCCTCCTCAGGTAATTTGCTCATTCATTCATCAGAGAGTCAGGGGCAGTACTAGGCAGTGAAGAATCAGAAATGGACAGGGTCTTTGCCCTCATGGGGTGGACATCTACTAAGTGGAGACAGATAGTGACCAAAGAATCCTACAAATAACATAAAAGTATATATACAGGGGATGCCTGGGTGGTTTAGTCGGTTGTGTCTGCCTTTGGCTCAGGCCATGATCTCAGGGTCCTGGGATTGAGCCTCACATCCGGCTCTCTGCTTAGTGGAGTCTGCTTCTCCCTCTCCCTCTATGTTCTCTCTCTCTCTCAAGTAAATAAAAATCTTTAAAAAAAATTAAAAGTAACTTTTTTTAAATAAACTAAACAAAAAATTAAAAGTATAAATATGGTAGGCTTATGAATATTTATAATAAGATCTCTGAGCTGGTCTGACAACAAGATGTTGCAGCTTTGAAGGCAGGGACCTTATCTTTCCATCTGTGGGGCTCTCAATCCTGGCAGTACTTGGGAATCACATGGGGGAGCTTCTAAAGCATTCATATTCCTGGGTCTCTCCCCTGAATAATTCAATTAGAATCTCTGCCGGTCAGGCCCAGGCACAGATTTTTTTGAAGCGCCCCTCCACCCAAATGATTCTAATGTACAGCCAGAGTTGAGACCACAAGCAAAGTCCTGGTGTCTAGCACAGTCAGGGCACATAGCTTTTCCTAGAGAACTAAAGGTAAGTGACCTCCAATCTCATTCCTGTTCTCTCCTGCCACCTCCCACCATCTTCCCTTCTAGAACCTTGAACAAGGTCACATACCACCATGATAGGTTCTTCTCCATGGCACTCATTGTACATGCCATTTTGCACTCGTTAATGCACTGCGTGTATTCCTGTCTCTCTCTCTCTCCCACTGCAGTTGTAACAGGGCAAGGCCAGGTCAGATTCCTGCCCATCACTGTGTGCACAATGTCCAGCCTACTTCTGGCAGATATTACTCAATAAGTATCCAGTGAAGTGGATGTAAAAGCAAAATATTATGAATATGCATAGAATATTAGGGCAATCATAGGAGTGGAAGCTCCCCTCCCCTGTTCCTTCTGGGAGTCTCTTATAAAAGTCTCACTCATCCTCATTATGTCTCCAGTTGTGATCTAGAATCATTCATTCCCATGTGCCTCTTTCCAGACAGTGGACTAGTCTAAGATCTGCTCAGAGAAAGGAATGTAGTCAAGGTTTCCTGTATCTGACAAACTGAGACAATTGATTATGAAGTAGGTATTCCAACAGCTGGGATAGGTGATGCTTCCTCAAAAAGTTCTAAAGGAAAGAAATCACAGAGGCATTAAAATCTTGCCAATCAGTGCAGGGATGGGGAGAAGGCTCCATTCAGGGAATCATGAGGTCCCACAGGGAGAATCTACAACCTCCTCCACAATCAACCCTGATTTAGTCTCTTAGTGAGCCTGACTCTGGGGACCCCCGGATCGTAGAAAGTGTTTGGTACTTGGAGCAAGAGAAGGGTGGACAGAAAACTCTGGGGGCCCTGTAATCAGACGGACTGGAGGTTATGAGATCTCAGGAATGTCACTTAACCTCTGACAGCTTTATTTCCTTCAGTGTGAAATGGGGATTATATAAGCTACTTTCAGGTTTGTTGTGAGCAATACATTACATGAGATATATAAGGTATGTAACACAATTCTGGAATGTAGTAACTATTCAGTACATATATTTTGTCTGTCTTCTGAAAGAACTGGATTAAATCCAACAGACATTTATTGAGCACTCACCCTGTGCCAGGCAACTTGCTAAGCCCAAAGGAGGCATTCATCCAAGCCAACAATCCTTTCCTTTCTTCCTTCCGCTTTCACTTCCCTGTACCTACCACCTGTGTTTGCCTCGTCTGCCCTATGAAGTGGCCTAAGAAGGGGACTTGATCTTTTCAGGATGATTAGAGAAGGCACCTTTGAGGATGTGTAGTGGGATTCCAGGTGAGAGAACATGTAGTATATAGCAAAATGGCCATTGTACATCACATTGCCTTCCATCAAGAG